GGGCTGGCTTTGAACTGCGATCCTCAGATCTCAGCCTCCTGAGTAGCTAGGATTACAGGCGTGAGCCACCAGCGCCCGGCTACTACATGATTTTTGGCACAGCAGGAAAAATACTCCAGTCATGTGGTCACACACAGTAACTGTGATCGCCCCGTATCTGCACATTCTCTCCAAACCAAACTTGCCTCTGATGACTCCCATGATCAATGGATGAGGGATGGCAGACTTGATGTGAAGTGATTGTTCATAGAGTGCTTTCAGTTTTTTGTTATTTTTCTGTGCTGTGTACATCTGAATTTCCAGAGCATATATTTCTAATAACTGTGTACCTTTTTTCAGGTCATCTTCTCCATCATCAGTCTAGGAAATGCAAATACTTCAGTTAAGATTGAATTCAGACAACCTAGCACTATTTAGTTGACTTAGTCAGGAAATATTTCACTTATAACCACGGTTGATGAACAAGTACTACAAGTTTTATTTGGGAACTGGTATACCCAAAATACCACTTGCAGTGGCCAAATGGAACTCTTCCATCTTTCTTACTTCCAGTTACTGAGTAAGAAAAAAGTGGCCAAAGTTAGCAGCCTAACTGATAAAGTGCCTAACAAGCATGAACTCCTGCAAAAAAGGAACAAGTGGCTGTGTGTGTGTGTCTAACTGCTTTAGGTCCACCTATTCAATCAAAAAGTACTTCCAGAGTACAAAGGAAGATAAAGTTGCAATCGCCAACTGCTCACAATATACTATTAAACACTAATCTGCTGCAGACGAAAGACGAATAATAATGTAAATGATACTGATTCTAGTTGAAGCATGAACCAAGTACCTACAAGAACAAAAAGGACTAACTTTCCTAGAGGCATGTCAAAGGAATCACAAAGGTGGTAACTTTTGAGTTCGACTTCTATAGTGTATAGTCAGATGTCTGTAAATATAAAACACTTACATACACTAAGCAAAAATATACTGTGCTATTGAGTTGTGCACTTTGGTTTTATTCACTAACAATTCAAACCCAGAGTAAAATATAAGATATGAAAAAAAGTCTGTACATTACCTCTATAATAAAAAAAATTTTTTTTTTTTGGTCAGCTGTGGGTCTTGAAATCTGGGCCTGGGCACTATCCCTGAACTCTTTAGCTCAAGGCAAGCACTCTACCACTTGAGCCACAGTGTCACTTCCAGTTTTCTGTTGGTTAACTGGAGATAAGAGTTTCACAGAGTTTCTTGCCCTGGCTGTATTTGAACTGCAATCCTCAGATTTTAGCCCGAGTAGCTAGGATTACAGGTGTGAGCCACCAATGCCCAGCTTAAATTTTTTTTAAAGAAAAAAAAAATTACATCCATGTTATATATTTGTCTAAGCATAATTCCACCAAACTACTACATACTAAAATGCTGTTTACGAAGTTTTAAAAAAACTTCATTAGTAATGCTACTTGATGAAGATTAAAAAAAAACAAGCATGATAGCCAATAAAAATAGAGTTGTACACTCCTGACCATCTTGTTCTTTCAATTAATTGAAATTAAAACTTAGTACCTCTGCTACAGTTACTACATTTCAAATGCTTGACAGCTATGCATACCTAGCATTATTATTTTGGATTAAAAGGGGTATAGAACATTTCTAGTATCTTCAAGGTCTGGTAGACAGCCATGCTTCAGGATTCATATATTATCAGTAAAAACATAAAATATTATTATGTATGGTGTAATATTTGTGCCTTATATTCTTGAGGTGAATATCAAAATACCAAGGCTAATTTTTACTAAGAATTACAAGTGATCTGTTTACTGATACCTGTACTTTATTCCACAAATGACAAGACTGAAATTTGTATTAAGACAAGAAGAATAGTCAGATAAAGTTATCATGTTTTGCCGGGTGCCAGTGGCTCATGCCTGTAATCTTAGCTACTCAAGAGGCTGAGATCTGAGGATCACAGTCCATGAGACTCTTATCTCCAATAAACCACTCAGAAAACTGCAAGTGGCTCTGTGGCTCAGGTGGTAGAACGCTTGCCTTGAGCTGAAGAGTGCAGGGACAGTGCCTAGGCCCAGAGTTCAAACCCCATAACTGGGGGGAAAAAAATAAAAGTTAACATGTTTTTTACTTCTGCTCTTGTTTCTATGGAGACAAGGTTTCCTTATATAGGCCCTGATCCTGTATCTCCAGCCTCGAAACATTTTCCTAAATTTTATTTGTGGGACGGATGTCTGAACAAAAACATCACTAAATGATATTTTGAATACAATTGTCACATTTTTTTATTATTAAAAAGAAATGCCAAGAAAAACAAACAAACAAGTCAACGTTACCTGGCAGGACTGATGTAACTGTCGTAAAATTTTTTGAAGCTTTCCGTATTCTTCTCGTTCTAAATATAACTTGCCAAGCTGTAAAAAAAGCAAACTTATTAAAATCAAAAATATTTAACAGAAGGTGAATATATTTAGGAAAGATTACTAAGGACACCCACCCACTCTTCAAAAATAACCAATGTAATTGCTGTTGTTACCTTTGTGTTTGTTTTAAACCACAGTCTATCATTCTTAGCATCTTTCAAAGCTTCCAGGGTTGTTTCATAGAATTCCTGCAGTAAATCCATCTGACATAAAAAATCAGAATTCTATAATTGTAAACAGCAAATTTGTACCTGTTAATAAAGTTAATTTGAACAAACTAAAAGTGCATCTTTGAACTTTAATATACATAGGACACATTATTTGTATCTTATCTAATGTCTTCTAAAATCCCATAATTAAAAGACCAAATTAAAAAAATTAGTTAAGTGCCAAGATTAAGCTCTAATGCTTTAATAGTAAAGGTATGTACTTCCCAGTTAGTAACTCATCTATGTTGACAGAGATATATGATACATTTCGACAAGAGCTAATCACGTGTATTTTACCCACCAAACCCTATCTGGTATTTACTAAATAGCAAATACTAAGCAAACTGTTAGAGAAACAAAGAATAATAAGTCCCTTCTCTCAAAATTCTGTTTTCAAAATGTGACTATTTTCTTTAGCTCTGAAGTAACTGGTAAACTTTTGAAACAGGCAGGAAAGACAAGTTTAGGATTTGTTATTGTTGTTGTTGGTCGTAGGGCTTGAACTTTGGGTCTGGTCGCTATCCCTGAGCTCTTCAGCTCAAGGCTAGGTCTCTACCACTTGAGCGGCAGCGCCACTTTCGGTTTTCTAGTCGTTTATTGGAGAAAAGAGTCTCATGGACTTTCCTGCCTAGGCTGGTGTTGAACTGAGGTCCTCAGATCTCAGTCTCCTGAGCAGCTAGGATGACAGTTATGAGCCACCAGTGCCCAGCAAGTTTAGAATAATTTTAGCTATGTTTGATCAATACTAATTTATCAATCTTGGTGTGATTCCCTTCATTGTGATTATAAGCTTTTTTGCTCATCTTCCTCTCATTACTACTGGCTTTGCCTTTGAATATCTAGATCTCTAGCTCTCTACTTAACAGGATCCAAAAGTACAGGAAAGTTGGAAACTTCCACAAAGTTGCCTACTTTACTTGTAACTACTGATGGCATATGGGAAAAGTCAGAGTGCCGCCCATCCCTATCTAGTCTTAGTTTCAAAAGGCAAAAGACTTATACACAGAAGTTTTAATGCCACTTAAAGGTTAATGTTCTGAAAAAACATGCAAATTTAACCTGGAGGTTGTCATGAACACCTGTAATCCTAACATTGGGGAGGCAGAAGGACCTCAGGTTTTGTTTTTTTGTCAGTCATGGGGCTTGACCTCAGTGCCTAGACGCTGTCTGTAAGCTCTTTTGCTCAAGGCTAGTGATCTACCATTGGAGCCACAAGTGGTTTTCTGATGGTTCATTGGAAGTTAAGATCTCAGGGCCTTTGCTGCCCAGGCTGGCTTCAAACACCAATCCTCAAATCTCATCCTTCTGAGTAGCTAGGATTACAGGCGTGAGCCACTGGTGCCCAGTTGATCTCAGGTTTTAAGTCTCCCAAAGCTAGCTCAATTGGTGATTAAATTTGTTACAAGGAACTGTGAGAGTCAGGGATGTTGCTCAGAGGTAGAGCACTTGCCTAACTTTCATGAGGCCCTGGGTTCAATCACTACCACCAAACACAGGTACTAAGTATAAGTCTGTAAAAGTTGTTTGCCAACTATTTTAGTATCTGAAGACATTTAAAGAGAGAAAGTACAGTTATTATCTCTTCATGTTACACAATTAGTATCACAACCAATATACTATTTTTGATAACTATTTTTTAGTAACTAGCATAATTGCTTTAATACCACCTCTACAGTTTTTCTTCTTTTAAGTACAAAAGCCTTATTACAAATTAAAAAAAAACCTGATATTAATACTAAGAGGAAAAAAATTCGTCTAACCTGTTTAGAAGTAGAGATATAATCAAGAATAGAATTAATGGATTTTTCAGAATAGTTTCTTGTGACTGCACTTCGAATATAGGTCAATAGTTGTTTATATCTATTCATCATTTCTGGAAAGTTTGTCTGTAGGAAAGAAAAATGTATTGTTAGATACACAATTGTATAATAAAAATCTGCATACATGATTTAAAATATAGTACATAAGAGTACCTACCCAACTGAAATATAATTCCTATAACTTGTAACACAACATGCTTTTATATCGGGCAGGGACATTATTTTTAACTTAAACTTGAAATGAATTACTCAGCTACACCAACAAAATTTAGGCGTTTAGCTTACAAAATAAATGTAACTTACATTTGTAACTTAAAAGATTCAGACATTATTCCTTATTGTATAACGTATTTATTTGAATCATAGTCCTTGTGAAGCTAAGGCAGTAAAACAGAACTCAAGGCTAGCCTGGACTACATGAGAGATCCTGATGCAAAAACATGGAGAGAAAAAAGAAGAAAAAAAGCCGGGCACTAGTGATTCATGTTTGTAATTCTAGCTATTCAGGAGGATGAGCTGTGAGGATCACAGTTCAAAGTCAGCCCAAGCAGGAAAGTCCATGGGACTCCTATCTGCAATTAACCACTAAAAAGCTGAAAGTGGAGCAGTGGCTCAATTGGTAGAGCTCTACCCTTAAGCAAAAAAGCTTAGGTACAGTACCCAGGTCAAGTTCAAGTCCCAGGACTTGAAGAACCAAGGTCCTACTCAACAGTAAATGCAGTTCATGTTGTTATCCCTTGCATTTATACTACTGGGTTATTCCAAGAAACACAAGATTATTCCAAGAAATAACAGATCAGAAATAAAAAGACTACAAGTATAATGTCCAGTGCTAAATATCTAAGGGGAAAGCTTACTATCTAAGTAACTATGTAAACTCAATTTAGGAGTCTAACCTAGATCCAGTCCTCACAATCTCCAAGTGCTATTAATCTCTCCTTTTATTGAGTTAGCCTCTTTTAAGCAGGAGATGAAGCATTGGCAAGTATGAATGTTTTTTCTTCAACTGAACACATGTAGTTATTAGGGTAAGGAGTAAGTATATACTACCTATATATATACCAAGTTACCTTTGATTACATTTTACTAGGATCACTCTGCTACCTGGGAGATCAGACTGTAGCAGAGCAAGGACGGAAGTAAGGATGCCAGATAAGAAGCTACTACAAAAAAGAAGGTGAGACATGTTAGCTTGGACCAGAGTAGAAATGCTAAATACTAGTCAGATACTGGGTATAATCTGATGATACTGCTGATGGATTATATTTGTTGAGTAAGACACAACTAAAGAAGTAACAGGAAGATTTTGGTCCTAGACAGTGGACAGGAAGTCTGTAATAAACAGAATCTTAGGATTTATGGTACAAGTACAAGGATTTAAGTACAAGGCACTGAGTTATCAAAAAGCTACTCTATAAATAATGCAGCCAAACACTGTGCATACAACTAAAGAATGAGTTTTCTTAACAAACAACTTTTGTATTCTATGCAGAATTTTAAGAGTAGTATTACTGGTCAAAACTTTTGAGAAGCAGACTTGGAAGCATATCAGCAGAACTATTAGAGAAGTTATTATGGCATTTTGTTGCAATGAGGTGTCCACCTACAGAATATAGTCATTATTAGTTTAATTCCCCTCAAAACAACTCTTACCAACTTGAAGTTAATCTTAATCATTTGTTTCAGTGCTTTAAATCCCCATTCTCCTTTTTCACCTTCAAGTTCCAAAACCTAAAGAAGGGAAGGAATTTTTAGTTTACATACTATACTACAACTATGGCATTCACTGCGATAGCTCTGAATTAATTTTACATCACATTCATGAAAACAATTTCCCTAAGAATCTCACCATTTCTCACTATCACTTTTAAAAAGATTAAAAGGTAAGCCCTGAGTACTTACTAGTGGTTAAGTAAAAATCTTTCAATTTTTTTTTTTT